AACGCAAAACAATACGGTCAACCGTTTCGGTCACTGTGTTTTCAAGGCAAAAATGTAATATAAGAATCCAAACTTGCACAAAATTGGCAATTTCAGACCCAAACTTCAGTTGTACTCAATTAAGGTCCCAAACTACAAGACGTTCTCACAAATAAAGTCCCAATTAGATAATATATTCTCTTGTCGCAAGTGTCTTGGATGCTTGTTAATAATCCATAACTCCTTTAGCTAGTTGGATTGCCACATGAGAAATTATATTGACTTGTTATTATCACATGGATGTCGTGTGATTCTATAAGTAAGTTCCAGTTTCAATTGCTTTTAAAGAGGATTTTGTTAAAAAGAAGTTACGTGACATTTATGTGGCAATGACAAGTCAACATGTTTTTCATGTAGCAATCTAGTTAATAGAGAGTTACGAACGGTTAATGGACATCTAAGACATTTGACGGCAAGAAAATATTCCTTCCATTCATTTGAGACTTTATATGAGAATTTCATGTAGTTTAGGACCTTAATTGAGCATATTTGAAGTTTGGGTCAGAAATTGAGAATTTTATGCAACCTGGGGACCTTTTTCCCAATACTTTTGCCCGTTTTCAATCTTGAACGGTTTGTTGGGTTGGGCTCAATGTTATGGGCTCTTACCGTTTTACTTTTGACTAGAGAATTGGGGAAGTCCAACTTAGGATGGGCCCATTTATAATCCTTGGACTATGTTGATAGGCCCGTTAAGAAGTTGAGCGTATGTCATGATTATAAATTAAAAAATAATTTAAAAACAATCTTTTTATATTATTTTTGTATATTTTTATATATTATATAAATAAATATTTTTTATTTATTTAAAATTCATAAAAATAAATCTATTTACTTATTTAATAACACATAAAAATTTTACAAAAAATTATAAAAAAAAAAAATTGTCGCTATATACACGTCCTTATAAATTTTCGATGGGCCATACTTGATTTTGCAGAAAAATGTCATGATGTGGAAGATCAAGACATAGGACCGGCGTCGTTTAATGGGAGTGGGACCAATAAAGCATGTGATCATGAGTCTTTTGGCAACTGTAATGATTAGCCAAAATCACATGATGGATGAAGAATATTATGCCACGTCCAAAACAACAGATGATACAAAATACCACTGCCTCCTCTTTTGTCCCATTTGTTTTCCTTTGAATTTATCTACTCGTCTTTTTCAAACTTTCCTAATTTAAGTATTTATCTGCCCCCACCACGGTTACTTATATTTTATTATAATTTTTAATATTATAGGAGAAGATATTTTTTTTATTTTAAAATTATATTATTAA